TACTGTATTGTACTACACCTACTACGAAGGTAGACTGTATTTTATCCTAAAAGATTCTTATCTTATTTATAAATTTCTGTAGCCAACGGCCGTACCATGCTGAATATACCGGTTCTCGTTAGATCACCGAAGTCAAGCATCATTGGGCGCGGTCAGTACTTGGGTGGGTGACCACCTGGGAACACTGCGTGGCGTTGGCAAATTTGGGGACCTGAATGGCTGTGTGTCTAGCGCTCTGGCGCCGGTGCCGCAGGTTTCGGGTTCGAATACGGCGGTGCCATGGATGTTTGTAGTGGTTCGAATCCACTTTAAGCCGTAGGTCCCGGTCTCCTATGACTGTAAGAGCGTCACGGAGCAAAAGTCAGGCTTTACCTACGGGTGCTCCCCGCAACAGAAGCTGCTTCCTTCCCTTCTCAATCATGAGCACGTATGTGCTCGTGGGCTTGGCCAGCCATGGATAAGAAACAACAACAAAAACAACATAAATTTCTATTAACAAAAACCTATATTTACGTCTTATTTCCAAGATAGCATTTTGTTAATGTTCTATACATTAGTGAAATAACCTTTTTACTCATTATTTCTAAAATAGCATTTTATATCAAGATAAATGATTTTGGTTATTTGCACATTATTTTTAGCATAAATGATTACATTTCAAATAAATAACCATTTTTTTAAGATTGTGAAATAATGTATAACCAATTCGTTTTCTTAAATAAATAATTATAAAGTAATTATTATACGAAATATAACCAAGATAAATAGATCAAGTGGGCTGCTCATATATTTAGAATGAACGACTTACACCCACTAAAAAGGTTCGTTTTGACAAAGCCATAAGGACAAAGAGAAAGAGGACGTCCCAAGTCGCGGTGGATAGGCGCAGTTGAAAAATATTTTGTTGTACTAAAGGTTGAGGGCCTGATGGCCGAGTGGCTAGCTCTGGAGCTCGGTACCACAGGTTTTGGGTTCGAGTCCCGGCGGGGCCATGGATGTTTGTAGTGGTTGAGAATCCACTTTAAGCCATAGGTGCCGGTCTCGTACGACCGTAGATCGTCACGGAACCCAGTCAGACTTCTCATTCACATCATTTCCAAACTGTAAAGGGGCAAATCAGCTCTATGCACGGTGGTGTGATGTAGAAGTAGTGCTAAAGGTTAACAATCTGAGGACAATTGTCACCCAGATAATTCCTCGGTCCACTCTGGGCTGTCGTTCTATAGATGAATTATTTTATAAAGTTTGGACTAGGCCAATTTATTCATTATTTGCAACATAACTTTTAATTCTTTATGCGAAAAGTTCTGTTAAATTACAAATCACATTATGGGAATTTTTGCTTCGCAATAATATCTACGTCCATATACGTTATATATGTGTGTTAAAACACAGGAGAGATTAATCAGTAAAACAATGATTTGTGATAATCCAACAAAAGTCACTATTAAGTAATATATGTACCAAATACTAGTGACTAATTAGGTTAGATAGTAAGTAATATAGAATCGCATAAATTTATTAAGGACATTGTTGATTAAAAATAATTTATAATAATTATATTAAAAATATAGTATATACAAATTATATTTCTAAGTTTTTCTTTGTCAACAAGTTAAATTTTTGTTTTTTTTCACTTACGAATATTTCTTTTTTTACAAGCGGTTTTTTGCCCATGGTTTAAAGTCGATTTCGAACCACTACAAACATCCATGATGCTGACGGGACTCGAACTCGAAACCGGGGTATCGAGCTCCAGAGCGCATAGCCACTCCCATCTGGCCCCCCCAAAATAATACTTGTAACAATATCTTTCAAACAATTGCAATATTTTATACAATTTTGACGATACTTTATACAATTTTCTTTTTTTTTTCTAACAAGCTTTAATTATGTAAATATTTTCGTCTTACAAATTCTTTAAATATTCAAAATCAGTATTCCAAATTCTCCCAATCATTCATTATCAATTTAAGATTCTATGTTCAATGAGATGTTGATTTGTTAACCTTTA